AGCTGCTGAACTGAGGTTACCGAATGTGGGTTGGGAAGAGATGCACACAATAGGCTGTCATGGGCCAGTGCCCGAGGGCTCCAGTAGGACTGGTTAAACACTATCATTTTACAAATAAGAAAGCAACTAAGGCCAAAAGAATTGTTCCATACAAGTATTTTACTGCATTGCCACTGCTGAAACTCAGGTTCTTCCTCATGCTGCCCCTCAGTACTGTGAATGCACTATGAGGAAAGGACCAGGATTGATTGATTGATTGATTGATTGATTGATAAAGCCCACAGGCCTCCCTAGCCTCCTTAAGCATTCCCCTTTTGGGGCCCCATTGACCTTTTGACATTGAGTTTAAATTGTGGTTTGTTTGCTTCCTCCGATAATCTGAGATTTCACTGATACTTCTTTTTTCATTTTTGTGACTTTAGTACTCTGTACAATATCTAGAACACAGTATATGCTCCAAAAGTGTTTATTGAAGGTATGAACAAACCATAATAACAGAAAACATTTATTGGCCTACTGTGTGCAAAGCACTGGTCTTACTCATGTAATCCCCAGAGTAATCGTCACAACAAGTGAAGTATGTACTATAATCACATCCATATTTCAAATGAAAGAATAGAGGCTCATGGAAGGTAGTTACCCAAGATCATACTAGCACAGTGAATGGGTTCGAACCCTGCAGTCTGTCTCCAGAGCCTGTGCGCTTGCCTATTCAGCTGTCACTCAGTTAACTGTCAGTGTCATTGGGGTACACAGCTCAGCAACAAATACTTTAGAAAGTTCTCCCTCCGTTCCATATGAATGACACAAACATTTCCCAGAGAAGATCTAGTCTGACCCCTTTGCTAAGTTGAAATAATCAAGGAAATGGGGTAATCAAGTAATCAAGTTTTCTCATTGTCTGAAGATTAAACAGAAACCTGTATTCTAATTAAAAATTATGTTGTGGACACTGGTCCCGAATCTCCTTTTATTTGGCTTTAATAAAAAAAGGTTAACCTTTTCTTTGATTTCTCAATCTAAAAAATGGCATCCCCCATTTGCTAGCAAGAGAATCTAAAGAAGGTTTAGGAGACTGGGTTACTAACTCCAGGGCTGTTCTGCAAGGCTTTAGCTTTAAATAGAAAAAATATCCTCCTTCCGTACTGGTCCTTTTATGGTTTGTTATCAAGTGAGATAACAAAAAGCCCATTTCTGCCCTGGCTGGTGTGGCTCAGTTGCTTGGAGCATTGTTCCGTACACTGAAAGGTTGCAGGTTCGATTCCTACTCAGGGCACATACCTAGGTTGTGGGTTCGATCCCCAGGTCAGGGTATTATAGGAAGCAATTGATCAATGTTTCTCACATCAATGTTTCTCTCACTTACTCATTATTCTCCCTTCCTCTCTCTCTAAAATCAATTAAAAAAAAAACATATCCTTGAGGATTAAAAAAAAAAAAAGGGCCACAGTGGGAAAAATCACCACATTGAAA